ACGTCATGCGAATTCCATATTCTCCCTCTTCTTGTTCCCTTTTGTTTCATTTCTTGGAGAATGCGGAAAAAAATCAAGACACAATTTGATAGCGCTGTAAAAGGTACGCAAAATCGGTTCAAACTGTGCAGAGACACCATTGACGGCTTTGCACCCTATAACATTTGATCAGTTATTAGTACGTTAGGAGGATTTTTGTAGCACGAACATTGACAAAGCTGTAAAACCTTGACGAATCCATGAAAGATAATCCAGATGATTATAACCGGTCATCCATGTCTTTTTTTCTGGTATAATCTGGCTTCCCTCTCTCTCTCTCTCTCTCTCTCTCTCTCTCTCTCTCTCTCTCTCACACACTCTCTTTTTTTTTTATCCCTTGGAGTGATTTTATGGCATTTAGGAGTCATGAAATCAAAGTGCACATGGGTGATTTTGTTCAAAGTTTTGACATGGTTTTCATTAATCCAGTCATACATGTATCTAAATGACAATGATGGATTTTGATTCCATTAAGGGCCAGGCACCAGGGAAATTAACTGACTGTGAGGTTGATATTGCCTGTCTGGTCTGACCATCTGGAGGAAGGTTTTTCTTAAAAGGAAGTTCAGTTCAACAAATTTTGACTGCCTGTGAAAACCTATTGTCTTTCTGCTGAAATTGGCAATGAAACTCCTGGGTTTGGCTGTGAAAACAAACAGGGCCACTTGAAAGAACTGATTGATAGATTTCATTGAAATGGTTCCCCACAAGGATTTCATTGACATCTGCTTATGTGATGTTTGAAAAGATTTAAAAACTGTTCATTTTTGGAAAAAAGGCAAAACTTTTGCAATAGTGCATTTTTGTTGTCATGAATACAGATAGGGAGAAATATTTTACCCTTCACTCTTTTGAAGTATTTTGTTTTGGTATCTGCTGTGCATAAAGCATGTCATTTTACATGAAGCACATTGTCTGAGAGTACAAAGCTTTGGAATGATGCCAATTTACATGAATTTTCTGACATGCAAAGGGATTTCCTCACAGCATAATTGTTGGTTTTCTAAACAGGAAGTCGTACAAAGTTTTCATTATTTAAATCATAAGGACCAATTCAAGGAAGTGATGGATTGGAAAGTAGAGAAAAACACTTGAGAATTGCTTTTGATTTTTCTCTACACTTTTTCAGCTTCCCCCAATATTCTCATGTCCTTTTACTTGTAAAAAGCACTACAATGTTAATTAGATTTTTCAATGTTTTAAGGTGTCAGTTATTAAAGAAATCAGTAAGAATGAAATAAGCAGAAATGAATAAGCAAAATGAATGAGCATTACTTAGCAAAGAGCAAAGCAACATTCTTTAGGAATGCGGTACTTAAATGTATTCTTGAAAATGCCTGTTAGTTTTTCATCTTTCGTATTGCACATATTCAAGGGTGGCACCTGAACTTTAGAATCAAGGGCAGGGGATTTTCAAGTCAATAGTTATGATATTTACAGTATTATATTTGTATTTGTGTCGACGAGTGGTTGATATGTACATGTAAGTTAAAGCAAATTTGCAAGTTCCGTGCAAACGTGTGTTTGTGACCAGTTGTTTTGATTTTCTGCAGGACTGGGCCTTTGATGATGGTGCAGCACCACCTAAAGAAGTAGTCGAGGGCTGGCTGCAGTTGCTAAAAAAGAAGTTTAAAGAAAAACCAGGATCTTGTATTGCTGTGCATTGTGTGGCAGGGCTTGGCAGGTTAGTTTGGTTCCTTTTTGCTGACAATATATACTAGACCTTGAGATAAGCAACTGCTCTCTGTTTTCTCAGTCTGTCAGCATGAGATTAAATACATACACATGTACAAATGTAAACAAGACTAATACCCACAACTGTGCAGGTACTGACTTGCCAATTCATCTCGATGTTTTCAAGAGATTTTTGCTCTGAGTGACTTTTTTAATATTTCTTTGGACACAGACTAGTAATTAGATCTAATTATCTTTAGGTACACTTTGAATATTTTCCAAGTACTAAATACATTTTCTAGGTCTTTGAACAGCATTTACCAGGCACCCTGAGTGCTACCTTGATCATGAATTGTCACTGAAAAATGGTCTGAATTCCTGATATCCATTATCCATTACTTTTATACGAAGAAATCACTCAGGTGTATTTGACTTGGAAACAGTTTGCATATGCATCCACATGTACATGTATACTTACATGTACATGCATATTTGATTCTTGCAAGCAACAAGAAAATTCTTATCATTTACTGTTGTATCAGCTTTGTCAAAAGAGGCCAATAAATAGCAAAAATCAACATCTACATGTACTTCACAATCTTGGGCAGCAACTCCACTGGGATATTTATCTGATTCAACAGAAATAGATGGCAAATAAGTTGGCTTTCAACAACAAAGCCATCCACACTGTACTTCAAACTATATGACAACCCTGTAAATAGTAAAGGTGACACATGGATTTTATTTATTGTACACAGAGCACCAGTCCTTGTAGCACTGGCTCTTATTGAAAGTGGAATGAAGTATGAAGATGCTGTGGAATTTATCAGAAGGTACATGTACATGTATATGTCTGAATTTATAAAAACATTGTTAAAGAAATCAAGCATCAAGGTAGACAATATAAAAATTAAAAGGAATGTTGGTCTTTTTTTCCCTCGACTTTCTTATCTTCCCTTTCTTGCTCTCCTCTCTCCATTTTTTATTATTGTTATTATTATTTTTCATTGCATGGAGTGATTAAGGCCTTTTGGAGTTGTGAAGTCATACAATGTAGTGCATATGCAGGGCTGTAGTTGCCAGTAGCCTTGTTCTCCACACCTCTAGCAAACTTGTAGCTTTAATTGTGTGGCAGGTGTCTGAAGGGGAGGGCAAGGGGAAAAATGAGAGCATGAAGCACGTGAGCATCCATCCTTGAAGCGTGCTCTATCCTCCACACTCATTTTGACCCTTCCCTCCCCTTCTATGGCCTGCCACGCAGGCTAGCAAACTTGCTACTTTGTGGTTGAATTATATCAACAATGGGCAATTTTGCCCGTAGCATCAAAGGAATATCAAGCATACTCAGCTGTAACAGTTGTTACGGGTTACTGTATGACCCTTAATGACAGCCCTGCATATGGCTGTTTTGGTGCAAAGTCTAATGTGGCTTTCATAAGTTTAGCCATACATGTAATCTGAGTATTAAGCCTTTTTAGGCAGTGGAAAAGAATCCCTTCCCAGAGGGAGTAGGAACACACGTACTTCTGGTTGCTTCATGCTACAGAAACTGGGATAAGCTCCAGTAGTATGGACCACTTGTTTGCTTTATCTACATGTACATGTATGTAATTCAGTTCTATCATTTCTCTCTCTCTCTCTCTTCTTAATTTTGCAGGCGAAGACGAGGGGCAATTAATGCTAAACAACTAAGTTATCTTGAGCAGTACAAGTCTTCAAAACTGCTTAGGGAGAAAGGAGGAGCCAATTGTTGCATCCAGTAAGGCACAGGCAGCATTTAACCTTGACAACAAGAAGTAAAAATGCTGTCAATTAATTAATGTACGTGTTTTATTGTAAAGGAAGATTTCTGGATAAGTTATTTTTAGGGCTTGACTATGGAATTCTGAAGAGCCTTTTAAATAGCAGCAGATGTTTTTTCTGTCTAAGTGACCAGATGTCTATGTAGTTAGAACAGTGAAAGCAATGAATTTCTTTTCTTTGTCCATTTTTTTTTTTTATATAATAATTCGACGAACACAGAGAAGATGGTTGCCACGTGAGACTCAAATTATTATTTTAGGCGAGCTGATGGAGGCAGCTCTGTTCTAGGAGCAAAAACAGCAGCATCTACAAAGCTTTGTGACAGGTTCAATAATACAGGAATGTAAGGCAAACAAATCATAATAAAGCAGGGGAATTTCATAAAACAGAACATGGTCAATAAATTTGATAAAATTGGATGAACATCTAGTGTGAACTGTTTTCTTTTTTCTCATACTTGGCTAGTAAATAAATTTTGTATAGAGAAGACATGTAGTAACTGTCAGCTTGTAAATTAAAACATGTTTAGCAGCAGTTATCAACTGATTCAATCCTCCACCCAGGGTGTGCCTAGTCACCAATTTCTTGTTCTCCACGACAGTTTATTATAGGCTGCCAGGTTATGACAGTGTATGATCTAATCAGCTAAGAAAAAGGCTAATTCTTCCACAGAGACTTGTGTTAATTGCAGTGCTGAATGGACTTTTAGATCACTGTATCTTTCAATAGTAAACTGCCAATTAACAGTTGCATTTTACTTTGCTGTCTGTCAGATGTCATCAAAACATCAGAACAAAAAAAAAATGACCGTAATGAATTGAAAAAAGCTCATGTCTACATGTAAGTTGAGATTGGTGATTACTGGCAATACAGTTATTTGATTATTTTTTTTTTACGGGCTTATTTCATTTACGTATTGCCATAATAATTATTATGATTGACAGCAGTATAATGTGCAGCTGTTACAGGTAGGTTTTTAACTTTGAGGCTTTGCATTATTGCAAAGTGCAGTGCCACTATTTTTTCCTTCAGTTCCAAGCTGAGAATATCTAATTTCGTTATGCTCAGTATTACATAATAGTTTGAATTATTTTTCTTGAGTTATTTATTAGATTATGAGAATTTAAGACTAGAAGACAACATGATTGTACAGCTGTACCTATTTTTTCTTCTCTTTGTGTAGTTGGAAGGGAGAATTTACATGTAGCATGCTGGGGATGACCATTCTATTACCAACTTGGATTTTTACTGCCTTTTTGTTTTGTAAGAATACTGACCATCTTAACTTCAAGCAAAAGCGGCAAAATAATGTTCTTGCCTAGACTAGGTGTCCAGGTACATCTGTTAGAGGTTTCAACTGTATGCTGTTTTTTGTTTTTTTTCATTTTCATTTCTCTTACAATGTGACTACTCCGACCAACACTAGTTAAGCAAATTCTTTGCAAATTGACCACTGACAGTTTAGAAACTTGTGTTAAAATAGTTACTAATCAAAATAAGCACAGATCTGGGGCCTCTGTAATGCACAGCTTGATTTCTAACATAATTTGTCAGAAAACTATTGTTAACATCTCCAATTTTCACTAAATTTTGTTGGGCAGCCTTGGAAAGAGTAAGTCGCACCGTAAAAAGTGTTTCCATTTTAACAGTATTTGTGTAGTTTCATTAACAGTTACATGTACATGTTACAGGCATACCAGTTAGTACTATTATTGAGGTACCCAATTCCACTTGGAAATCTGCATTTTCTCAAAGAATAACTGGGAGCAATGTTTTTATTATCTGCATTACAAGGGGGTGATTAAGTTAAATAAGAGTATTTCAAAGGAAGTAGAATAATCTAATCTCAGTTAAATAACAAAGCACAGTGATGTAGATATAGCAGCCAGTATGCAAGATTTCAATCTTAATTTCACAGTACATTAGCACTCAAAATTAGGACTACAAATTGTACTCATTTTATTTTTGTGCCGGCACAAAAAAGAAGTATAGTGAACCTCAGAATTACATGTAGATCTTTTATTATTTTTCAAATCTTAAAGTGCAAAGGGCATTCAGTGTGTTTGACAGTGATTCAGCTGGTTCAGTTCCATTGCTACATCTGTGATTCGTGGATAGAACTTATGCATGAACGTGCAAGTGGCTGAAGTAAAATTATAACTCAGATTGAAGTAGGTGCCAATTAATGATAATACTCTTGATTTTCCTAAACCTTATTGCATTGCCTGCCTGACAAGTTTTGGAATTTCACCTTGTCAATACAACTTTCATAGAACTGAAAACACGTTTCTGGTTCTCTCTCAATAAATATTCTTTAATTACTACAAATAAAGATATTAGGGTTATTTTATCCAGGTAACATAACTAATGCACATAACAGCCAGACTCTACTTTTCTGGTTCAGTTTGAACTTTCCTTGTGTCTTTCAATGATTAAACTGAGTTTTTCTGTGGGTACAAATAATGACATGTATTCACAGGAAACTGTTTTACAAGCTCGTACAAATCAGTTTAGCGTAACTGTACATGTTTAATGAAAATAGTAATAACTGCTGTAAATAAACCTATCCTGTGTGTAGATAGCGTGTAACTTAATACAGTTACAGTGTATTTTTCTATCCATAAAAGGTAATAATCGAACTATTCTTTTAGTAGGAAGCACAAAATCTGGGAAGAATAAAGAAGCTGAAACTGTCGAAGTAGTCTAGTGTTTTGTTGTTGTCGTCATCATTTCATTTGAGTTTTTTTTTGCAAGGTAGCAGGAAAGGTACATTTTGGTGTTTGGTCCCCTATACCCCTTGACAATGACATCTAACTAATGGGCCTGAAGTGCTTTTTTTTAAAATTTGGGGAGTAGAATGAAATAAAATAAATAAATAACTAAAAAAACATCCAAGATAAAGTCCACAGAAATGAAGTTGAAATGAAGATGCGACCAACACAGTTGTATTCGGACAAAAAAAAAAAAAAAAA